GCATTGCTCCGTTTAAGTGTTCTGTCATTTGTGTGGGTAGGGGTTAAACATGCACACCAAATTAAAGAAAGGCATTTGTTAATGAAGGGTGATAGAGATGTGGATTTGATCCACTGCCAAGGTTTTGTAAAGGTGGTCTGATGTACTCCTAGATTATTTCTCTGTAAATGTGGCTCATACAGGACATATTGGTCATGTCCTGCACTGAGCCAGTACAAGGATATGTGCTACGACCATATAGACACAGACCTCTGGTGCATATGCCTAACACACTGACAGTTTACCTTAAAATTCATAGTGTATGAGTCCAGGCAGAGTTGACGTAACCGTCTGGTCAGCTTTCTTGCAAAATACACATTCTTAAAACTTTCTTGTATTAAAAAAGAAAAAAAAAAAAGAAGTTTTTCATTTGTAAAGTGTTAGTGCTGGTGATAACACCAAAATTCAGAAATCATAGAATTTTCCTCTGCATGTTGCATCCCCCCTTCATATCACAAGATCGCAAATCACAAAATTTTAGGCTATAAGAATGGATTTTTAGTTCCTTTAATCAGCAGTTTATAGCCTTCAGGTTGTTCATGAGTGTCTTCATAACAATGGTGGATTTAACTGTCCTTTTAAAACAAGCTGTACCACAACGTCTTGAATCCATGATGCCTGGTTTCCTACAAATTTCTGTTTCATGACTGAATTCTCTGTTGTGTATTAAGATGCATGTTCAGAGTGAAGTCTTTTCTGTGACTGTGCCTTTGTAAATATTTCCTCTTGTTAGATTCTCTGGTAACTAATAAAGGTTGAGACTGGGTCCAGTCTCACCCACTGTGAAAGGACTAATAGGCTGTCCAGCTGTCAGGCATCCACCTGACAAATATCATTCTCCCTCAGAAGGGCTGCCAAGGACAGAAACCCTGTACTACGGTGAAGCCTCATTTGTTCAGTTTGTCTTTCAGGTGGCCAGAAGTTCATCTGCGCGATTAAACAGTCAAAAGCTTTAAAACTGGTGCAAGAGAATGTGTAAATTTACCTTTCAGATGAAAGCAAGTTTTCACTAGTCTTATGAAAGGAAAGTGACATTTTCAAATTTTGCGTGAACCATGTTATATTATCTCTCTTGAGCCCTTCTTTGAATATTTTTTCACAAGCTACTGCATCAAGAAGGGCACCCTTAAACACAGCTAATGTGTTTGAGTGAGATAAGGCTTGCAAGATTTTCAATCTTTTTAATCCCATTAGGTGCTTCCTCTATTTAGGATTTAAAGTTTTCATACCATACCCAATTTAGCCCACAAGGTATGGTTCCCAAAGCATCCCCAACGGAATGATAAAAACCGTTCTTCCTCTTTACACATGGATTACAATTTTTTCAAGGTACATCATTATCCTTCTGAATCCAAGCTAAAACTGTCCTATGAAGTAGAGCTGCATTCAGCCAGCCAGTTGAGAGAGCCCTGTAACAAAGTGTCATTATGGGTCCTGTCTTGCTCTGGTGCTATGTGATAACAACTGGAGTAAATTAAATCTCCTGTGACCCAGGTGCAATTGCAGGAAAATTTATTGCCCAGTCACTGCTATAGCATATGGATTTGTCTCTCCCTCAGTATACAGGCATACAGCAAGTATGCAGAGTAAGAGAGTCCCACTGAGGGGAATGAACCTGTTATTTTGCAACAGGCTGTTGTGAAACAGGCTGTTTCAGGGGCACCTGAAGCCTCCAGAAGGAAAAGGAGTTAGCTGGGTACCGTGGAAACTTGTGCAAATGGGTCAAAGAGTAGTGTTGCTAAAAGCCAGAAAGCAGGTGCACACAATGTCCTTTTTGAGTGGACAAATGGTGTCAATAGGCAGTCAAACCAGAGCAACTCTAATGCTCATTAATTCTGTCTCTCATTCCACCATTTCCTGTTCATTAACTCCTTCCTGCATTTCCCCTCTCTGCCAGAGCACATTACTCAGACTCAATCATTTTCTCCAAAAAGGAAGGGTGTTGAAAGAAAAGGCCAGAGCAAGACCTTGCATTCCCCAGCTCTCCCAAACTAGCTTTTCTGCTAGAAGGAAACCAAACAAGCATTTTACATTTCCTTGGAAAGATAAATGTAAGTCAGGTTTAAAGAAAGGTATGTGCCCTCTAGCCAGGATTTACCTTTGTGCTGTTTATTCTGTCAAGAAAACTTGTTTTGTTCTGAAGGAACTGTCTCAGCCACTTATAAATCTCACCCGTGCTCTAAATCCTTCAGGAAGAAATAAACACAGGAGTCTGGTTTTGTTTTAACTGGCTTTTGTAAGGAGGGCAATTTGTTCCTTCTTGCTTTTTTGTCAGTTTCAGTATAGTTTAAGTTGGACTGTTGTGCTTGGCTTATTGTAGTGGCAGCTTGATGGACTGTATGGACACACACCCAGATAGACTGTATTGTTGTTCTCTGAGAACAGCAGCAAATGCTTCCCTTTTGATAGGTATCCACTGACTTTACCATGGTCCATGTTTCTCAGGTATCTGTTGACTTGCCATGATCAATGTTTCTCAGTGCACTGCTGGACCACAGAAGTGTCACCTTTGGTCCAGCCCCTGTCCAACCTGGGCAAGGGGCCAGAGAACCTTGTCATACACCACTCTTCAGATTACAGAGTCAAGTATAGCAAGTCTTTGCAGAGATACCAGAGCTTTTTGCAAGGGCAGAAGGGTCTGTGGGTTGGAGAGCTCACATACTTTGGACATGAAGCGATGTGTCTACTTGGGTGATATGGAGCTGCTGGTAGCTTTTTTATCCATTGTATTGATAGGCACCAGGAGTGTCATCTCCCTTATCTAAATCAGCTAGTACTGGGCTTGTTTTCATACAGAGTACCGTTGCAAGGGCTGGGACTGTGGAGCTATGGTCATACCCCCTGTTTGAGTAAGATCTGGTGTGTTCCTGAGAGCTGAAAGTGCAAGGCCAGACTGATGAACCACACAACCCAGAGTTGTTCTGCCCACATTTGCTTAGGCTGACCCACCAGGCTTGGTCCTTTCACACAAAAATGCTACTCCTGACTTTTGGATGGTTTGATACAGTTCTGCCATCAGGCACTGACTCAAATTAAACTCACCATTAACGGCCAGCGTAACGTGCTCGTGGTTGTAAACACCTTGGTCTTGGTACGCTGCCGTTTCATGTCAGCTTTGCATGAATACCCTCCAAGCCATGCAGAGGTATAGAAGTGATGTAACCAGCAAGGAGGAAAGGAATGCTGTTCACACATTCAAGAAGTTTCTTAGGAGAAGCAGCCTTCCCACGTCTTTCTTGGCAGTTTACTTTCAGCTTTACTTCATTCCAGATGGCTGCTGCCTGTCCCATCCTGCACAGCTGAGTAGCCACGGGCTGAGCATTGCAGTGAGGAGCACCCCAGTGCTCACAGTATTTTCAGCGTTCGCTTTCAATGCACAGGGATGGATGAGGGTGAGGAACAAAACCAAAAAAGCCAATGTGTTATTTAGGACAAACGGACTTGATTATGGATCCTGAAGGTGCTATAAAACTGATGGATTATAGGCTCAGCATTTCTGGGATTTGAGCTGTCTGGCTTCCACTGTGCTTTCATTGTGTCAGCTCCCCCTCTTTCCCTTGGTTTTTGCTGGAAACATTGCACCAGAGCACAAGTGAAGTGAAGCAGGTTCTAACTAGACCCAACAGCTGCCTTTTGTTGCTGCTGTGGAAACAGCTGTAAGGGGGTAATATAATCACCCTTCTGTTGCCAGTCAGCTGCATATCATAAGCACCTTTTTTGGATGCAGGGGACCCAGAGGCAGCTCCTGTGGTGATGTAAATGCTAATTGGGCCCACAGCATGCTATTTGGTGCCCCATTTGACATACTAAGCACTTGTTGTTCTGTCCCAAGAGCATAAAGTTGACTGAACGGATATCTTGTGTCACTTTTATTACAATGAGACTCATGTTTCATTCATGTGCAGGAGAGGTCTTTGCACTGGTTCCTGTAGTGGAAGAAATGGTTTCTTGGATTTTAGATCTGTTTCTCATCTTTTGTGCAATAAAACTTTGCTGTGATGTCAGTCAGCTCAGGCTTGGAATACTCACATTTGGGATGTTGGATTTTTTTTCTGCTCCTTTTCTAAAAATAAACAAGTTTTGAACGGGTGTTGGGGATTGTTTTTACAAAAATCAAACTCATTTGACCTCACACCAATTCTGTATTTGTCTGAGATTATTGATTTAAAAGTAGATTTGATGGAAAATTGTCTAACTTGTAGAAGAAATCATAGAAAGAAAAATTTAGCAGCTTATCATCACAAGTTGAAGACTGTAATGGGCAAGGCACTATTTGAGTGTACTTGCTGTGGAACTAGTGGTTGTTTTTCTTAGAAAACAGAGAAAAAAACACAGAAAATGTAAATGCTGAAGACAGCTGAGCATCAGCATTAAGAAACTGGTCTGGGGACAGTGTGCCTGAGCTTTAGATACTGATTTTAATCTGTCCTTGGTCACAACAGTTAGCTTACTTGAACTTCAGTTTTCCCCTATGAAGTCAACTCGCTACCCTTTTGAAGTACTTTAAAGCCCCACCTTGGACAGGGTTGTAACTAGTCAGAAACTGGATATACTGATTCTCCAAATGTCCTTTGCTGCTCTTTTGAGATAGCATGTTTTCTGGTGAGGTGGAATATTACAGTATTTCACAGGCTAAATATTATGCTTGATGGAGTCAGTCTGTATCAGAGCATTCAACTAAAGCTCACAGAAGGTGAGTGTTTATTGGTTTGGCACAGGAGAGAACGTAACATACCAGCTGCAGGTATAGGCACTGTAGGAGATGGATCAAGAAGAGATCCATTATTAATCAGCCATGGGAGGGGTGGCATTAAGTATCTGCTCAGAAAAAAAGAAATCAATTAATAAATGTGGAAAAACCAAGTCAGAAACAAAAAAAGAAAAACAGTTGCTACCTGTGTAAGTTTCTTTATTGACAGTCTTGAGGTACACTTCATTTACTCTGTGTTTTTGTATCACAGGTTCAGGTTCAGCGGTCGTATTCTTGGCCTTGCTCTCATTCATCAGTACCTTCTTGATGCTTTCTTCACAAGGCCGTTCTACAAAGCACTACTAAGGCTGTAAGTATAAGCATGCAACCATGCAGAAACAGTGATCCCACAGTGAGTCCTACAGAAACACAGACCCTTGGGGAGTTGCTTTGAGCGCCCTGACCTTCAGGTTCTTTCTGATGTTGATTGGTTGGTCTGTGATTGAAGAAAATGAACACATTTTAATTTTTCTTTACTTTCTCCAAGAATTTGCCAGTCATAAATACTACGTTGATAAAAATGAATAATAAGTATGACATTTAGGAACACACATTTGAAAGTACTGACCCATAATTCCCAAGTTTACTGAGGAAAACTTACAGAACTTCAACCATGTGGAAGACTGAAAAGCATCTTTGATGGAACAAAACAAAATAACAACAAAAAAAGGAGGGAGGTCATATTAAGAAAAAATACATAATTTGTCATGCCTCACTGGTGGAGTAGGTTTTCATTCTAAAACACAACTGGGGTTAATTAGGAATGCTAGTGTAGATACAAACGGTGAATGTTTCTTTTTGGTCTTCTACTGTCTTTTATATTAGTAAGCAGAAGCTACCAGTAATAGATTGCTTTCAATTTCTAGTTTATATTTGATTGACAATCTGTCCCTCTTTAATTAATAGACTGAAATAAGACAAGGTACATAAAATTTGCAGTAATAATAAAATTACTTTATAATAAGTATTATGTCAATACTGCAATTGAATGACAAAGAGCAGAATAAAGTTTAGCTGAAATAGTTTATCAATTAAGATGATTCCAAATCCGCAATGATAATTGTCTTAACAGTCCTTTGAGTTCTTTGTCATGTTGGGTTTTGTTGTGGTTTTTTTTAACAATGAGTATTGCTGGGTTCCAAATGCTCATATCTCAATTGTACCTGATCTAGTCTGGAAATAGCCTGAAACCTAGACTGCTCCCTGCATCCTTATTGCCCCTTTAGGGAGTTTGAAAGCAGGCTGGTCATAACATCCACCTGTCCTTTCAGCAAATAAGGACAGCTCCTTATTTGCAGAAATTTAGGCTGCCTGATCTGCCTTATGTCAGTCCTGTGAGCTCGCTTTGAGGAGGATAGGTACGTGGAAGCAGCCATGCACAGCATGGTAGAGCTGAAGGTAAGCTTGTGCTCTGTAGTGCAGGGCATCCTGAAGAATCACATAAAATCAAGCCCCAGGGGTGTCTTCTGACAGCAAATAGTGCAGGCAGCCAACAGATTTGGCCTTGAGCCTAGCTATGCAAAGCAGATAGTTGCACAACTGCTTCAAGAGGGTCTTGTAACAGGCTTTGATGTTAATAAAACTAAATGAACATCACCTTTTTGTTGGATCTTCAACATAAATTTGTTCACATACTTAGTAATAAGCCAGTAGTCATGGGATCATATCTTTTTTTCTTGTCTTTCAATCAGACCGTGTGATTTAAGTGACTTAGAGTACCTGGATGAAGAGTTCCATCAGAGCTTGCAGTGGATGAAGGATAACAACATCACAGATATCCTGGATTTAACCTTCACAGTGAACGAGGAGGTGTTTGGACAGGTGAGCACAGCTATGCAAAACATCTGAAAAGAAAATTTGAAGCTGACAAAGTTGGGCGTGATGAACATCTTTCTGTCAGAACAGATCCTTTAGCCTTTCAATAACATTTTCTTCTCCTACCTTCTGTTTCTTTCAAGCCACCTGTTCCAAGGCAGATGTTTATTCTTAGGGTGTATAATATAAAATACTAGCCCTCCTGCAGGCCTATTAACCCACACACTGATGAGCACGAGGAATTCTCTGGAGTGCAGCTCTTCTGTCCAGGGTGTAGTTCACACAGATGTGGCATTCGGTGAATGCAAGCAATGTAACTAAAAGCTGATGTGACTGAAAGGATGGGGGTTAGGAGGGAAGAAAAACATCTGACAGGTGGTGTAGGACCTGGCAGCTCTCACCATTATTTTGTCTGATGTCTCGCTGTTAGATTCTGTATCTTTTACTTAATTTGCACCTGCTTAACAACTTGGTATGTACATCCATTTATTATGCTTTCTACAACTCAGCTCTACCTTAGTCATTGTAACCTGACTAATCTGGGGAACTACAGCCTTAAATAGAGTGCAGCACTTAAGTCTGGCAACCAGAATAGGTGTCTCCTCTGGGATTCTTTGGCTTGCACTGAGGGCCTGGTGCTCTTTGCTGTTGCAACTCATGCTAGATTATAACTGTCTCTGGAAAACCTTCACGAGACCCAAAGCAACATTCAGAATAAGATTAAGGACCTCCAAGGTGATGCTGAAAACTAGGGAGGCTGAAGAGCCACGCTCACCAAGCACTGCAGAAGCTCAAGGAATGGAGTTAACTTGTGTAAGAAACAGACACACAGCATCAAAGGGAGCAGAGAGATTAGATGGAATATACAGAGAATGGCTTTTACTGCTCCAAAAGAAGATTGCCAGGAGGAGTTTGCACAAAGCTAGAGTAGTTCTGTGAGCTAGAGGACAGTTAGGCTAGTTTCTGAGGGGAGGAATTCTGGCCCTGCAAAAGGGCTGCTCAGCTATAAGCTAGAAAGTAACAGAAAGCAAGCAAGGCTTCAGGGGGCATATTCAAAACTGAATTTAGTCCGCATATAGTGCAAGGTCGCTAAGGATGAGCAGAGTTAAGGGTAGATGAAATGCAAAGGATGGGGCCGAAGAATTGATGTAGGAAGCCTCTGTAGGAACAATAACACTGTTTTTCCCAGACTCAGATGCAGGGTTTTTCCATGGAGCTGAGAGCTTATATGACATTGAACTGACAGTACAGCGGTTTCCCTGGAAGGTATGGCCACATAAGACTAATACAAAAAGACAGAGAGAAACACACAGACCTACTCACAGAGACAGATGAGACAAGTTTATATTTACATTGGAAGACTATAAAGTTGAATAAGAATCTCAACCTGAGTTGCCCTGATGCATCTGAAGGTAACATTTGACACTAATTACTTGTTATACTTTCCCCAAAGGAAAGAGCTAGACAATTAGATAGGAGTCTGTTGGGGAAGATGGCACTCCAAAGAGAATAGAAAAAAATCATAATCTGTTGTAGATGCTGTGGTATGAAAGCAAAAGAACACTAAAAGCCAGATTTTGATTCCAGTTCACATGTTGTCTAGTACTTTATTTCATATGTACTAGACACTAACCTTGCTAGAACTAATGATGAGTTAAAAAATGGTTCTCACTGTGAATTACAACTGTCAGAATCCAAGAGTCCAAAGGGAAAGTGAGAATTTCCCCCTTCTAAAGTTTGCTAAGTGCTAACAGCAAAATAACAAAGAAATCTCAGTCACATTTTATGCTCACAGATGGATCCCAGTTGGAAATTCTTGCACGCCAAGAGTATCTGAGCACTTAAATGCCATCTGAGCATTGCTTTGCTGGATACACGTGCAAGTGTACATCACAGTGGGAGCTCTGCTAATATTTGGGAAGCTGGATTTCCAAGGCTGGGTAAGGGAAACAAGAAATACTGACTCTTTGAGAAGCTGTATGGTAGATGGGTCACAAGCCTTTTGTCTGCTTCCACAATGACTTTACTCTGGACCAGTCACTGCTTCTGTCATTTTTTCTCTCTTGTCTCATCTCTGATGTGTATTGAGCTTTTAAGCCTTCCAGGCCAAATCGGTTTTTTTGGACTTTCTTAATTAGAATTAATTACAGCCTTTTTGCATACTGGAACCCAGAACACTCCTGTAATAGCAAAGATACGATGTCAAATCGAGCATGGCACATTTTTACTGGTGGGGACTGAATGCTAATTTGAGAATTTCACTTATAAGACACAGAGAGAGGTGTCAGTTACTTGTGACTCAAAGTAGTTTCTCATGCTTTTACCTAGTAGAAAGTGTTCTTTTAGGCCTGTCTCTGAACTCTGTATGGGGATACAGCCTGACTTGAGCCCTGGCTATTGCTCCAGTCAGGTAAAAGGGATGAGCTAGATAGTTTGAAATGTCTCCTTGCTACTCTGAAACCTGATTCTGAATTCTAGCTCACAGCTGTGGTTAATACTTCTATGAACAAGAAAGGAAAAATACGGACACTGATTGCAGGCCTCCAGTTCTAGGGAACTACTTGTATTTGAATTCATATGGATAATGAGAAGTTGAAGAAATGACCAGCTTGTCTAGATGTTTGTGGGAGATCTTGCAGGAGACTTACAGCTGTGCTTAAAGCCAGACAACGTTTAGTCTTTGGTTTTCCAGATGTATCTTATTGCCACGCAGCCTTGAAGAATACATGTTGTAACATGGCAGCTGGGCCAGAGTCTTATCCTCTGGATAATGCAGCATTGCTTGTATAATGGTGATGCAGTGATTTACATTTGGGAATTTAACCTGAACCAGCTAAGAATTCCTGACTCATTCCATCCAACCTTACTTGTTCTTGCTGTTTCTCAGCAAAGCTGCAGATTAGATGACTCATTCAATGTTTCCTTAATTCATAATATTATAACAGGTCCCTCAAGTAAAGTGACCTAAATACTGTCTGTGCTGTCTGTTGGGCTAATAAATAGATAATAATATAAATAATACTAATAATGAATATGTATTTGTGCAGCTCCATTTACTATCTGTGCTAGACATCATTGTTATAGCAGCAGAAAACTGAAGAGGAGACCAAAACATTCTTCCTTTTAAACCCACTGAATTGAATGTGAAACTAATTGGAAGATAAATATTATTTTCTGTCACATGGGAGAAGGAGTATGTGCTTGCTGAATGGAATCCAGATTGATTCCTTAAATCCCTTCTCAATCTCAAGTCTTAGTAACTCAAGCCAATTAAATTAACCATTAAAATGCAATGAAATGCTTTAGCTCTTGATTTAAAAAAAAATTATTTACAGTACAAACACTTCTCAGGTTTGGATGGCTGATACAAAAATCTGAATCTCACAGTGACTATTTGTTTTCTGTGCAAGGCTGCTGTACAGGTCTTGTTTTAGGTAGTGTACTGGGAGTATTCATTTTATGATAATTTCTTTGACTATTGGAATTTCTGAGTAAACACTTTTACTAGCACTTGGGGAAGGTAATGCTTGTTGCCTAAGACACAAGTAGATATCTCTTCCAGTTAGTGGAGCAGTCTGCCTATTCCAAGACTGTCCATCCTTGCCTGTTGTTTCCTGTACCATTGCTTAGATAGCCTTGAGCTTAAAACACAATATGATCCATACATTGCTACACCACTGTTTATCTTTGTTCTGCAGGTGACAGAGAGAGAGTTGAAATCTGGAGGGGCAAATACAGCAGTGACAGAAAAGAACAAAAAAGAGTACATCGAGAGGATGGTTAAGTGGCGAGTGGAACGAGGAGTGGTTCAGCAAACAGAGGCCCTGGTCCGTGGCTTCTATGAAGTAAGTAACAAAACGATGCTCCCACGATCTTCCATTTCTCATCTGAATGAGATTACACCCATGGTTAAATGGTGCTTCATCGGGACCCTAGGAAAGAGCTGAACAGACACAACAGCAAGGATTTGTGGATCTGTAGAGATGGAGACCTTGTATATGTATGGCTTGTTTAGCATTAAGGAAGAAAGGAAAGAAATGTGTACTCTGAATATAATAAAGCATTATGATCAAGAGCTAAGAAGGACATTGCTTTCCATTCACAAAGTAAGAGAAGTAGTCATTTGCAAATTTTGTTCTACCCTGTTGTGTAACAAAGGAAGATTGTGAAAACTCTATACTTTGATGAGAAGCTGGTAGAACACACTGTATCTTTAGGAATTCATTCCAACAAAATTGGTCCTTGAGTGCAGTCCAAGCTGTTATCTGGCTGGTATTCATGGATGCTGTTCCTTTGTTGTCCCTGGATTTTCCTCATTTATCTTTGCTGAAGACCTGGATCTGAGAACATCCTTCTGGCAGAGCTGCTACAAGGACTGGGTGAAAAGCTGTGGCTTTGCTGACCAGCCCATGCAGTCACCTATTCTTGCCCCTCATGAATCATATGCAAACATGTATCTTGCCCTGGCCCTGGCAGCTATCTAAGTAGAAGTTGAGGTCTGTCTCAAAGAGGGAAACAAACTGGAAGAATGGCAAGCCTGGAAAATGAAACAGCATATAATGGACATGCAGAATAATACTATTACTAATGGGGCTAAGCAGTCATGCACCGACAAATTTACTGGCAGTGGAAGTCAGTGAGGGTGGCTTTGTGGCTGCATAGACTTGGTCAGCCCTTTTCTGTGGAAAGGGGTTGGCTGAGTGATTCCATGCAGTTTACAACATGTGCGTATAGTTAGCTACCTTTTTCTCCCTGTGAATGTTACAGGCCATTAAAGCTTTTGGTTTCACACAATGAAGGAAGTGAACCTTAGCTGCATCTTCAGTGGATGAAGACCTGAGGGCACTCCCACACAATAGTAATCAAATTCCAGTGTGAAACAAATACAAAATAAGTTGTCCATATTACAAATCCAGGCTTTATCAAAATCACTTGTCAGAATGAATGTAAGAATGAAAAATGTTCTGCACAGATTATGTCCTGTCACTTTTATTGTTTCATTCTGGCCAAATCTCATGTGTGGTGGTTGTTTGCAGCTCATTGAACAGACTCCCTTCATCAGTAGGCTCCCTGAAGAAGAGCACAGATTTATCAGCAGAGAAGTGGAAGTTAGCTGTCAGCTTGCAGACTTCGTCACAATAAACAGCTGGCCATCAGAGCTATAGGTTTATGAGACTTTGCATCTGCTTTATTTCCCATCTGAAACTGTGCTTACAAGTGTTTTTTGTTCTAGGTTGTAGACTCCAGGCTCGTCTCTGTTTTTGATGCCAGAGAACTGGAACTGGTGATAGCTGGCACTGCAGAAATAGATCTCAATGACTGGCGGAACAACACAGAATATCGTGGAGGTAAACTGCCTGCTCATGTTTACTAATATCTTGACTGGTTCAGTCTAAAACATGAAAGACTTGGTCCATCTTTTCCTTCTGTCTTTCCTAAGAAAAATGCCCTTATTTTGTTCAGAGAGTTATTGTGAAGAATAACTCATGAAATAAAACAAATAAGATGTCAGGTTTGGATCAACAGGTGTAATAGTACTGAAATTGCTTCTGCTGTTTCTATCCAGATTTTATCCATTCAATTCCTACAGACTTAGCAGGAGTTTTGACTATTAAGGACTGAAAGGGATTTGCAGTATTAGATCTAAAAGTTACTTAGATGACTGTGAATGAACTCCTGGCTTCACTGAAAGTAGTTTCACAAGTCCTCTTGGCTTCAGCAGGGAGCTGAAATCAAGAGCTGAATTTCATAGTTCCCAGTTACACTTCAACAACATACAGATCTTGCTTGAATGTCCCCTCTTAATGTAAACTATATCACTTCTCTACTGCTTGGCCTGGTTTTGCTTTAAACATTGAGTATGATTTATCCAGCCTGTCTTGGATGATGGATAAGTGTAAAATCCACCAGTTCTGCACCACAAATGGAAAGTCCCTGAGGCTGACATATCCTCCCCTGAAATACAAGGTTTCAGTCTTTGCTGCTCACTGCCCAGCCTTTGTGTTACCTTGAAATACACAGCTTACCACAAGCACAGCTGATCCCCAAAGTTATTCTCCTACTTTTTTTCTCTTTAGCTGTTGAAACAGATTCAGCCTGGGTTTATGCTGGCTTTCACTAGCACAAACCAAGGCACAGAGCCCCTCAGGTGGGAAGTTTGCCAGGGAAGGGCTTGTGGCAGCAAACTCCTCTCCATATGTCAAACACCACTGCGATCCAAAAGAGAATTTATTTGGGAATGAGAAATTGTTAAGTTGTTAAGACTCACACTGTGTGGCATATTGCAATTGGTCTTTAATATCTCATGCATGTAACACCAGTTCTTGCCAAAGGATTTGTGAGAGGCTAGTGTACCTCAAATATATATTTGAGTTTCAGGGTTTGAAATTAATTAGTAATATTATAATATCCACAGCCAGGACAAAATGGAACCTGGGACCTATTGCTCAAGAAGAACAAGATATATTGTTAGGTCATGATCTTTTAAGTAGATCTTCTGACCCATGCCAGTAGGAACATATTTCAGTGTTGCACTTCCCACTGAGGAGGGCGCGATTTTAATTTCTCTTGCTTCTTGGTTTAGGTTACCATGATGGACACATAGTAATACGGTGGTTCTGGGCAGCAGTGGAGAGATTTAACAACGAGCAGAGGCTCCGGCTGTTACAGTTCGTCACAGGAACATCCAGCGTGCCATACGAGGGCTTTGCTGCTCTCCGAGGAAGCAACGGGCTACGGCGCTTCTGTATAGAGAAATGGGGGAAAATAACCTCCCTCCCAAGGTATGTCCCAGCTGGGAGTTTGTACCAGAATTGCTGTGAGAAAGATAGGCCTGGTACCTTGTTGCATCTCTCTGCCAGTGAAAGATAATGAATGCAGTAAGGACACCTAAAAAAAAACCAACAAAGAAACAATTATCAGTTTGTTCTGTAATTATATTCAGAGAAAAGTGTTTTCTTTTGCTACCTTTTTTGATTTACATGCTCGATTTAAACTAGTTGGAATCCTTGGAAATGGTTAAGATAAAGATTTCCATAGATCCAAACCTAGTTCTCTTATTTTGATTCTAGAACAAATCCAGACCAGCAGGAACGTGTCTACTGATTCTGATCCCCTTACTTCCAGAGTACTAGTAAAAATACTTGTGAATTTACAGAGACGTGAAGCCAAAATCTGTCTCTGAGTTTTGGCTGGAGACCTGAGCATAATCCCTTCATTTGCTCTGATGGTTCCCCTTTTACATAATGAAGAATCTTAGTGACAGGATATCAGACCCTGTGGTGATAATATCCAATTTGTTACATCTAGTTCAGTCAGCCAACTAGGAGCAAATGAGTTATAATGTCATACAGAATCAACAGACTTGGCAGTGCTTCCCAAAGGAGGGGTCATCTTCCTTTTTGGAACAAAGGGACAGGGGCACAGAGGGGTGGTTTGACTTGCTTAAGGCCACCCAAGAGAGCCCTGGCACAGCCAGCGATACATTCAGCTCTGAGTTCTGCCTCACCACTTCATGAGTGACCAGCACTCATCCTTCCTCACTGAAGTGAGTCACCTTTTCTTGAATGTCCTTACAGTTGCCTGAGGCTCTGCCCCATTGACATTACACAGCATTTCAGCACCTCTGAGACACTTTTGCTACATGGCCCTTTTACATCACATCTGCCCTCCAAAGGATGGCGTCTCCCTGCTCCTATCATTTGCTTTCAGCTGCAGTCCAAAGGAGGTCACTTCCATGGCACAGAGCAAAAATCTCTATGCGCAGACCTTGGAAATGTATTCAGACAATCACTTAACAAAGGGTCTGGTCCAGTTTTCTCGTTACTTGCTGTCCATGTTGTTTACCCAGAAACATGCTATAAGACGTGAACTTGAGTAAACTTCCAGAGTCCTCCAGAGAGGCAAATTCCAAATCTGATCACCCTCTTAGTCCATGCTCAAGCCCATGTTTATTCAGTGGGGAGATGCAGGAACTGGACCAGGGCACTATATCACCAGGCATTCGGAGCTGACATCTTATGTGGACTCCCTCTAAAGTTAGGAACAGGAAAATAAGTGTTTTTAAGGAACAGTTCATCCCACCTGAACACAGATTTTTAAAATTGTTAAGCTGAGTCACACCTGGTACATTCTGATTTATGTCCATCTACCACAAAGACTCTATAGAGACAATATGGAGAACTAGAGCCTACATGAAAGCTAGATTTAAAAACAAACGAAAACATGTAAGGTCAGTGAGATGACTCCCAGCTTCAGCCAGCAATGTGGAAAGAAAGCCTGAAAGCGAGTTTGCTATGCATAGTCTGGATCCTCATTTGCAGAATATATATAGCCTGGTTCTATCTAAGAGGTTCAGAGCTTAATGAGGGCATTCCTGCCTGTTGACAGTCAGCAACTAGCAGTCACAGACTTGTGCAGCATTTCTGCAGAGCTCTCTTTGCACTCCTTCTGGGGTGGAAAGGGGTGAGAGGGGAGGGTGGACCTTGGCACGTGCACAGAACATGCCCTGGGCTGACCCGTCAAGTTCTGAAAAGGTAATTGGCCTCTTTCTGCTCTGCTTAACTTTCTTTGTGAACCTAGGCATTACTTATGAACTAGATTCAGTTAGCCCCGAGATATCCACTTTAACGATTTTATGTTTGTCTGCTGATCACCGAACTTGTTGCTCTCCCTGAGAGAGACCTCTTTTCCAGGTGAAAGTTGGTAGCAACGTTTGGAAGTCTTAGAGCTCTGCATTCATTTCAGCCAGAGGAAAAAGAAACAACACTTGCTCCTGGGGAATAAACACAGCTTGATCACCATGAATTATTGCCTGCATTTTATAAAATTATGGGCTGCTGCCAAGTATACACGGTGTTAAGAAATAACATAAAACACACAGGCTAAGCCTGGAGGTTCCCTAAATCCTTAGTTAAGCAACTAAATGAGTATTACTTAAAACTTTTTTTATATGCCTGTTTATGGTTTGCTCATGTTTATTTAGATTTTTGTACTTACTTAGACTTAGAGGCTAAAAAACATATGTCATATCCTGTAGGCCTTTTGGGCCCTGTGATGTGAATGTAACTAACTTTAGCTGTTTACAGTAAACCACAACAAATTCCCTCCTCACTTCAACAATTCCTACAGTTTCGCAGTGAGAGTCACTCCATGTTTTCAAAGTCCTAGGAAAAAAACCACCAGCTTTCTCATGTCTTAGAAATCATCAAATTTAGTTGCTTATGTGCTTATGCATAGTTGTTCTAGTGGCCTTAGTTCTTAGTCTGTGACTCAATAAATGCAATGTGTTGAAAGATATTATGGAAGCTGATGTATTTGGCTTTCTTGACATCCAGGTAGATAGTCACTGGGGATAGGTTAGTCTGGCCTTTCAGTTTTCAATTGTTTTACAAAGCATTGAGAACTTTTAGCTCTCCAAGGAGAGTCCAGGCCTCTTTCTGTATTCCCTTGCTTCTGCTCCAGATGGCTGAAGTAGTTAGGTGAACCTCCCTTGCATCCTGTCCTTACACTCTGGCAATGGAGCATGCAACTACCATTTGCTTATAGTGGGCAAAGATGCAATACCTAATGTAATACCTAAACCACCTATGCTTTTGCACTTGCGGCAACAACATGGCACTCCCAGAAAAGAGGCATGGTGTAAGTTTCTAAAATGCAACACTTTTCAAAGAATAACCACTAATACATGACACTTAGGAGTGCTTCTTGAAAGCACTGAGGGTAAGAAAGACTTTTTCAGGAAGGCTAAGAATCCATTAACTTCATTCTAAATTGGTGGGTTTGTTCATCGGTACCAGTTCCCCTGCCATGAACAGGGTAATTGTGGTGTAATGTGTTCCTCTAAGAGTAAGATAACACTTGTATCTTATTTCTGTGGTGTGCATGTGTGCCAGACACATTATTCCTATCTATATTTACTTTTGAGACCACACATGTTAGAAAGTTGAGGCACAATACAGCTCAGAGACGCTGCTTTAATCCCAAACCTCCAGACAATGACCCTGAAGCAGGTCCCAAGGAGACTGCCAGCAGTCAGTCTGCAGATCTGTCAGTGTAAATCTTCAGCAGGGTTTCTTCCAAACATATGAATATGAAATAACAGGTCATATGAAATAACAGGTTCAATCGTATTCATCACAGTTGAGTTTTACTCTCCCTATCTAATATGCAAACTTTTGCCCCAAAATAAAGAAGTTACATGTTTTACTTCTTGTAACTGTTGCCTGAGTAGAGATGGTTTTAGAATTCTTCCAGCTATAGACTCTTCTGAAGCAGGAAGCCTCTCTTCACCTTTCCTGGGTCATGCAGGTATTTTAGACTGAACTAGTAGTTTTAGCAGTAGTTCTGTAAGAACTGATTTTTTGTTACCCACCAAACATTAATGAACTGGTTTTCTAGCTGGGACATCATAGCTTCATCTGATGTGGGATTGGAACTCCCAGCCCAAAACAAAGCTGTACAAAGAACTGGCAGTGCTTTCTACTACAGCTATAGGAGGCAACAGTTCCCTCTTTTAAAATTCTCAGTCACAAAAGTGTTCAGTGCCTACAAATGCCACTGCCCCATCTTCCGGTTGTGCTCCTCACCTGGCAAAAACTCCTATCAGCTCCAAGGTTATGTCTGTTTGAGTGTCAATTAGGTAAGGACCTCAGAACGTATTGCAGTGATTCAAATAATCACATCTGACACAATGAGGTCACTTTTCCCAACAGTGCTGAGCTGCAACTACCCTTTCAGCAGAAGAGATATTCATTCAGCACAGTAATGCATGTTATATATGATACAAATTACCAGTGCTAGTAAATATCTGAACTTTTGTAAGAGAATTCTGTCCCTCTCTGTTAGATGATCAAGTATTTAATCACCACAGAATCCCATATAGCAGCTAAGACAGATTGTATGGGACTACAAAGAATTTTATTCTCAAAATTTCCTTCTTCCCCAGTGGACTGGGTGCATGGGCTTTGCTGTCTTTTCTTTTTCCTTATCTTTCATCCCTCTTCTGTGTCCTCTTTTCTCACATAAAACAGGAATATTATCTACAAATCTACATTCATCTATTAAGCACTGGTTCCCAGACAGCAAATAAGTCAAAAGGAACAAAAATTGCTACCTGTGGGTCCTGAGGTTGATCAAAGAGGGGGTTGTGGGTTCATCTAAAGAAGGCAAGGTGAAAAGGAGAGCTGCCCAGTTTGTGCCTGACAGGCATGTTTATGTTAGAATGCGAGTCTTATTTTAGTTGAAGAGTTCAAGCTATAATTAAGGGGTTCTGTGCCCACTTTTACTACCTTTAGATTCTCATCTTTATGGGGAATAAAGGAAGTGACAAAGAAAAGAAGAATGCAAAAGTCTTAAAAGCTTATAATTTTTAGAGAGAATTCTTAGAAGAGAAATAGCACAGTACTGTGAACAGTGAGCAAGATTAAAGGTTCAAGCCCACCATAACTACTTTAAGCAATAAACACAGTCTGCCAAGAGGAATGAAATTTTAAGTGGTCCATTTACTGCTTTACTTACTGGAGGATGAGGGCATATGAGGGTCAGAGTTGGTTTACATGACTTTATCTTCCATTTTCTTCTAGAGAAGCCAGAATCCTTCCCATAAAAGCTCTTACCAATCTAATTCTTATTCCAGACCTCTCACTCCCTGAACACCCTCTCAAATGTCACCAGGCTTATGTGGTAGGAGGCTTAATCAAGGGAAGAAATATTTTCTTATTGCTGTGACTGTTTCTTGCACTCCTGATGTAATGTTTTCACCCCGATATATGTAGCAAGTGTCCCCTGAATTATGCTTACTGTAGACACCCTCACTGGGATGAGTAGTAGGAGGGCAACGTGGTTCAGGAGTAATTTACCCCTTTAGTGGACAGGGCACAGTTAGGCAACAGTGGAAAATATTATGGAAAATGTTGTTGATTCTTAATTGCCCTGTGTACTGCTTTATCACACAGCATATGATGTGACATACTAGAGACTGAGCAATTTAGCTTTAGTCCAGTTTGGAAAATAAATGTTTCAGCTTTCAGTTGCAAGAGCCAAAGGCAGTATGCACAGCAATACTGAGGAGAGAGGGAAAGCTGAATGAGAAGGAGTCCCAGTCAACCTTCTCTCTCATTTCAGGTGAAGCAGAGTATATTGTGCAGTTACACGAGTAGATACAACCTTTGCAGCAAAGAAGCAATTAGGCCCATTGCTGAATGTAAAATAGACAGTTTTGCACATAATTATCTTTTTGTAAGATTGGGTGGGCTTCACAGGCATCACTGAAGCTGCAGTAGATCCATATTAGTTTCACAAACCAGAATTTGAACTCAGGCTTTGCCTTTAGCAATATATTGTGGTTTGCACCATAAGTAGGTAGAAGTGTAAACCTAACCCGAATCGAACTCCTGAAAATAATTTTTCATTAATTAATTTGATGACATTTTTTAGAATGAAAGGGGTTTTTTCTGTAAAGTTGCTTAAGTGGTGAACGTGAGAGTGTTGCTTGGCAAAATGCTTCAGTGTTTCTAGAAACGTTAACTTTTTTCCCTTTCTTTGTAATAGTTTCTCCCCACAGTAATTTGCTTGAGACCTTCCATAGAAGAGTCCACTTCTGCAAACCTCATATTAAGACAAAGAATTATCTTTTTTCTGAGTTTGCCTAGGTCAAGGATAACTAGAAGTCAACAGCATTGCAAGGTTGTTTCATAATCAGCATGAAATGAAATGGATGATGATCTGTCAAGATGAATGTCTGCAAGACGTAAACATCAGAGTCAGTGGCTGTGGATATGTCTGCACCACACGATAGGATGCGCAACAGCAACGTCTGAGATGCTGTTGTCTCAAACAGTTAAATGTGCCATGGTTAAGTACCATACAGATATCTTCAGATTCTGCAAAGTTACATTAGCAGAATCCACACCTGAGCCACCATGGCTATGCTGCTTCCAGTTCTGGAGCCAGGCAGCTGAGCCCCTCAAGACTGGCTGTCTTTGCATGGTGCTGTCTTGCCTGTGATAGACATGTTCTGAATGGACTACAAGAATCCTTCAGTTAATTAACTCCCAGTGGTTGATATGTATTGGCAATGGATTGTAGAAACAACTTATGCTGCCATAAGATGGCTGAGATAAACAATAAACAGTGCAGTGCTACTCATGGATAATGCACATGGGCTGCCATGTTTAATTTCAAGAGATGGATTGAGTAATGGCTTTATTAATGTTCCTTTTTCACTAACTCAAGTGTTCCCAGCTCGTTTCCACAAATTTTGTGTTTATTGTACTCTCTCTGAGAGTGACCAGCTAACAAATCTTCATTCAGAAGGGGAAAAAGGATGGTAAAAGCTCTCCTAATTGAAGTTCTGTGATGCAGTGAAGATTACTTGCCTCTGGCTATTTCAGTTGCCTGATTGTTTTTAATGATTCATCACTGGTGCTTGATAAAACTCTCCCTGTGAATCTACAAGTCTCAGGCCAGCCCATCTTCTAGTATTATGTTTTTCCCACTTTGTGGGTGGCCTAAGAGATGACTAGCACAGTTTCAAGTAGTTTTCTCCAAGATAGCTCTGCTGCATCAGTTTTGAAGAAATAGCATTGAATTAAAGTATGAGATAAGAAAGCTAGAAGTAAAACAACTTCATGGCTCCTAAAAATACTCAGGCCGAGAAGTTCAGACATCATTAGTCATTGAGGCTACATTTCCTCCTGCGCAGTTCTGTCAAGTCACATTTGTCAAGCGAGCAAGAGGAAATAGAGATATTGCTAGCATCATGTAAAACTCTAAGCTGCCTGAAAAAACTTGAACTCTTTTAATGAAAAGGTGCCTCTTCATCCCCGTTTGTTGAACAAGCTCTACAGTTTTTCTGTCAGTTGAAATGGCTGAACTGTTGGGGCAGAGACTGTTTCTTTACTCCACATTTGTGTAGCACCTCACACAGTGAAGTGTAATCTGCCTCTGGGTCTGATTGCTGCTGCCAGAAAAGCTGCAACAAGGTGGAGGCTTTCATGGAACCCATTCCACAGCTTCCTTTGAAGGTGCTGCCAATGTAAATGTAATGGAGGGTAAATATAATGGTAAAACCAGGGGAAGAGATGGTCATCAAGTTTGCAGCTTGCTCTGCACAAAGTGTTTTGCTTTTGTCTTGGCTACTGCAAATAAATAACATTGAAAGGCCAGACTTAGAGCAGATGGCCAACAGCTGACTTGCAGGAACATTTTCAGCAGCCTTCCTTCTTCAGTTAGCAGATCCCTGAATGGTCTTTTACCAGTCAGCCCTGCCTCACTTGCAAACACATGCTGAGCCCATTCTGTCAGTATAGTCCATCACATTATCCTTATCCACTGATGCAAAACTTACTGGCTGCTTGTGTTGGATGTACAGCTCAATTCCATTTTTTGTAAAAAAATCACAAAACAACTCAAATTATAGTAGTGAAGTTTTCCCTCTATCAGGGCCTAGACCCCAGCTCCTCAGTGACCTCCAGCATTCTTCTCCATCAAGATCCCTACAAGATCCCTGCAGCATCTAAAACAGGGATATCAGAGAATGATGTTACATTGATACTTAGCTTGTATCTTCTTTATGAAATATTTATGTGTAAGTGCACATACATTTCAGCATCTCATATTTTGGTGTAATTCAAAGATTTTCCTTTAATAGTTGGGATTTATTTTTCTCTCTCTTAAGTGAAGTTGAATGTTTTGAGTCTCAGTAGGATCAAGTTTTCTCAGTTATTATTTTCTCAAGATTTTAGATTAAACTTAACATGTAGCATATTTTCCTTTTGCAGGGCACATACATGTTTCAACCGTTTGGATCTTCCACCTTACCCCTCATATTCTATGCTGTATGAAAAGCTGCTGACAGCTGTTGAAGAAACTAGCACCTTTGGACTTGAATGAGGGGTTCAGGCACTTCTGGTGTTTTTATGGCTGATGATGTCACGTTTCCTGTCCACCATCATTTGATCTTGGTTTCCCATGTTTTTATTTTTGAAAACAAAACAAAACAACAACAAAAAAATCAAGATTAACAAAAGCTGTGCATGAAGAACTGCTACCCTCTACGATCTAACCTTCATGCTTTCATCCTCTGTTTCCAATGGACTGCTAGTCTGTATGCAATAGAAAAACAACTGTCTCAAGGTTTCTGTATATCTCTACATACCTCCATTAATAACAATGAAAATACAAATGCAAGTTACACTACACTTGACCAAATGTTAATAAATGTTTACTTCCACCTGCGTTGATTAAAAAATAAAAAAAAACCTCATCAAACATTCCAAGCTTTTATATACCCACATCTTCTAAAATCAATTCACAGCCCATCTTCTTAACTGTTGAATCCAGTACTAGGAGCTGGTCAAATATATCTTCATCCATCCTTATTTTCCCTGTGTGTATTGTCCATCTGAGAGACATCTGTGAGGAAAACTGAAATTTTTATATACGAACTCATGATCAGTTGCATCAGCTGGAACTGGCACAGATACATGGTGCAGATATGACCTTCAAAAATTAAAAAAACCCAACCTGTAATGCAATGCAAAAAGCATAACAGCGATTGTTATGATTGTTGCTTGCCAGTGCTGGAGAGAACTTGCACTTCAGATATATTGGGAGGGGCATCTCCATTGTAATGTTTACCACACAAGAAGCACAAGGTTGTGCACATTCAAGAAGGATGTTTTATTATGTAGCATAAAGGACAAGGCTCCCTTACCTTAGTATTGTATATGACAAGGAAAAGGGGAAGTAAGAAGAATGTTCTACTCTTATGAATACTCTTGGGTTCTGTTTACCAGATCTTTGTTTTCTGATGTTGAAAATGCTCCTTTCCAAATGAGAAGTCTAGACAATCCCATCCCCTGTGTCAGAAGCCATTTATTTTCTGTCAGGCTGGGCTAATCTGTGGTTGGTGGGGGTTGTTTTCGGTTCTGTCTTTTTTCTTTTCTTGTTCAGTGGAATTCTCCATATCCTCAAGAGTGGTTGGTTGTAGACAAAATGTTTTCATCTAGGGTCTGTCAGATAAGAAGCTGCATTGATTGAGGGTGTTTGTCAGGGATGAAGAGGACTGTAACTCTCTGTGCGTTAAGACTTTGTTGCACTTCCTCTTGGAGGAAGCCCAAAGGCCCTCCAGTCATGCTAGATACCACTAAACTAAAAATCCAGCTCTTGTTACTACAGACATAACCCACTTCAGTTTGGTGTATTTTGCATTCCAACTCTGAATCCAGGCAACAAAAGCAAAACAGCAGTAAGATTGTCTTCGGATGAATTCTGCTGAGGCTCTTACAGTCAACCTCACTGCTCTGATTATGTTCTATTTATTAATCTTTGCTGCCATTGTTTTCCAAGACTAATCTCAGATTGAAAGTGTTTGTCTTGACTGGGAAAAGGAAATACGAGTATCTTCTGACACTAAATATGTTAAAGGATGCGTGAAATACGAACAGAGAGCCTTGTGAAGGTAAGTGAGAAGGTAACATCATGGTGTCTAGCAGCTCACATGAAATACCACACCCCCTCGGGGGCTTGTTACTGGTAGCTTTGTGTTAACTATGCTTCAGCAAATTGTAAAATGAGGAGATTAGCGTAAGGTCTAACACATCTAAGTTTTCTCTTCAGAGAAAAAGATTGGACACTGCTTTCTTGCATAGTTTTATGGTGGCTGTACAGAATCTCATCTCACTTGAAAAACTGCATCTGAGAGTTTTAGATCATTCTCCTGCTTTTATTCTTAGAACAACAGGTATTTGAAAGATGATGGACCCCAAAACATTTCTAAGCAGAAATAATAGCTTTTGTCAATGATACATTAAAAAATATTTAAATTGCCCCATTCATTCAATTTCTGTGATATTTCTGCCACTTTTATACTAATTTAATGTATGGCTTTTACTGAGAATCTATTTTATAGTATGCTGTTACTGTTCTTATTGAGTAATCATTTTACAATTGCAGAGGGAGGCTGCAGCTACAGGCCAGCTTCACTGTACCACACACCAAAAATGATGTTTAGTATTTCCATAAATGAGCTCTCAGGCATCTATTTCACATGACCAGCCCAACTGCTCAGGAGAGATGGAAAACTTAGCGTTTTTCTGAGAGCATCTGTCATATGCACATAAATTCCATCAGAACAAGTGACACCAGGAAAGACTGAACGTGAAATCTTCCAATTTCTGCTTCTTCACCTCTGAGCCCCAAAATCCAGTGATTCCTGTATGGTTCTTAATTTATTCCTGGTGATGTGTTATAGTTACCTGCACTATGTCAAATGTTGGATGCCTTCCAACATTAGAAGAAAAGAAAGAGAAGCATCCAGGTGGTTGGTCCATGTTTGGCCAGAGAAAATCAAAAGCTGTCTCATTAACATAGTAAAAAAGTAAAAAAAAAAAAAGTAAAAAAAAAAATCCAATCTTTACAATGCTGTATAGTTGAATTTTTTTACGTATTTTAAAACTATATTTTATTAAGAAAAAGTGAAACTATTTTTTGTAGCATAATAAAAGATGTTTGTATTTCAGAGACAGCATCAAACCCCATTGGTTGAAATATGGAAAGCTTTCTTCTAAAATTCTTCTTCATGACATGTTCTGACACTTGCTAGATTATGTAAAATAGATTATGTTTGGCAGATGCCATCTCGAGCACTTTGTATTCCTGCTCTGAGAAACATGCAGCACAGCCAGCTACTTCCCATCAAAATCCTTGATCCAAGCTGTTTTTCAAGCCCACAGCCTAATATTTTTAAAAGGTTGCTTTCTAAGTTGACGAAGTCATGCAGACTTCCTCGCAAGTTTTTTGGATCTAAAGCCAGGAATAGAGACAATTGGCTGTTTTCATAAAACAAAGAAAAAGAAAATTACATACTCGGCTGTTCTGGTATTCTACCATTCCAGTCCTATCCCTCTCTCTTCCCAAATGCCCTACCCTAACAGGTTTTCAGACTCCAGGATATCCAGGTCGATGCTTCTCTTTTCATTGTGTCATACCATGGGCAGCATCCAGTCCCAGCCTGGAGTAAGGGGAAGCCATGCATCTAAGTGGTGTCGTGATGTTGGAGTGAGGCAGTGAATGGTGCTAACAGGACAGAGGGTGGAACCTATCTCCCCTGGCCTGTTATTTAACCTGCCCATTAAGCAATTCGTTGACTTCGTTGTTGTTATGCATATGCAAGACATATACCCTTCCTTGTTCATCTTGTGATTCAAATGCTGATACTCACTCCCCAAGTCTGCGTTTTCATTTGTTAAACACCAACTGTTGATTACAGAAATTCTGGTTTCATTGTTTCCCCACGGGAAAGACCAGAAGATATTCCATAGGGCAGATTCACAGTAAAAAAATCTTCTGAGCTCTTTAAACCTCAGTTCCATTTAAACATGGTGGTGACTAGATATCATGGTGGCTAGATTAGGTATGTCATCAACATCAATAGATTTTTAAAATGTAAATGAAAAATGAAAGAGGCAATCTGACAGCTTTTGTGAATTCTAGTTTTTGATGGGAGCAATGAATATTGACAACTTGTATGTTTTCAGAGGGTCTATATGTTTCTGAGTGGTTGTCATGATAGTATTAATGGTAGAGGGAGGGAAGGGGATATTTCTTTTTATGAAATCCTGTTGCCCTACATTGATCTGAAGATAAGAGAATGAAAACAGGTATTTTAGATCACCAGTAGGTCTTCCACCTTGAGGTAGTCTCACTGACTGTTCAACCACATCAGCTATGCAGGATTTGATCCAGTGAAAACAAGTGTTATTGTTAACAGCATTACCAAATGCTGTCAATTCGGTCTGCGATGCATTACATGAGCTTTCAGTTTCAGTCATGTGGCTGTGCATATTCAAAACTTGACTTTTGTATTCCAGGGAGACCCATGGCTATGACAAGGAAAGAAGTGAGTGGTCCAAACTACATCTAACACCTAATGGAGAAATCATGAGTTTTGTACAAATCTGACACAGGGGACTTTTTTCACCCAGTTTGCTCAAGTGCCAGTGAACTTTTCAATGGACTGTAGCTGAGGTTTAAGTTCATAGTCTAGTCTGAGAGACAGCCTGTGGGGAGGGGGGTGTTTGTTGGGTTTGTGTTTTGTTATTCTAGTTTCACTGTAACAAAGAGTTGACATACCTCTAGTTGGAAACAATAGGATACTAAATTTGAACATGAAAATCAAATCTGAAATAAGCTAAAATATAAGCGCACAGGGGACGAGTTAAACTCGTCCTTCACAATTAATCCTGTGACAGTCTATGGAATTTCAGAAGGACAAATTTGACTGGAGATTTTTTTAATTTCTGTTGAAATAATATTTGCCCTGTCTCCGTAGTAATATTAATAGGGCTTCCCAGTCAAGATTAAACACTTTCAGTCCAGTGCAGACCAACAGATCTTTCTACAACAAATGCGGTGCTTTTTTATTATTCTTGCTGTACCTCAGTGTTCATTATTGAAAGATAAAATTACTGCAATATACTAAATCTGGGATAGGTTTTCCAGTTATCACAAGGTCCAAAAGATTGGATTGCTACTTTCTCTCTAGTGAGTCATGTAGGTCCTTTGTTCTAGTAGAAAAACAGATGCCTGTAGATAGTAGTTACTAAGTATAGTAAATATTGTACCATTAACCAAATTCCCTGCAGCTTCCACTTTATCTAACAGAAATGTCTGTTATGGTTTTTGTTAAAGACTACATAAAGTCAATGGCAGGAAAGGTCCTCATTACTGGACTGATTTTGCTTATATTGACAGAAAAATGTCACATGATACTCAGGCTGTGCTTTCTATTCAACCATATCACTATAGAGGAATGTCAATAAAATCACTTTGTTATGGCATTGTGTGGACTGTCTATTACAAATAAATTATTTTGTAGAGGATGTATGTTAGAGTGGGTGGAGACTGGCATTGGTCAAAGTCCACTCATTTCAGGAACTGCGGTTCCAGGATCATATCCTTTCTGACCATTGCATTCAGGCCCTTCCACTGCTTTTATTCAATTTCTCAGGGTACACGTCTAAAACTTGAGGTTTTCCACATAAGTGTGCATAACCAGTGCCCCCATACTCTCCTAGACTACCCTAAGGCCAGTCCTGCTTTGAGAGCCTGTGAGCTTATTCCTCACTGTGGAAAATGTCTGGTCAAACAGAGAGACAAAGGAAATGTATATGCTGCTTACGCATACCTTGCTTCTAGATATAATTACTGCATTACATGTATGAAATGCAAGTGCAATGATTTCTTAATAGCATATGCTGGGTCTGCATAAGTGTTGACAGCAAATACATAGCAAGATGCTCTGGCATCTCAGTGTGTCACACCCTTTTCTCTCCTGCTCGTCACTGTAATATCTCAGGCATGTTTCATTAACACATTCCAGGATAGATTAACACGCCTCAGATACACCATCAGCAGACACCTTGCTGACCATACCTGTTTTCTTACACAAACAGCACCCTATGAGGGATTATGGTACAATGTGAAGGATGGGAAAGCTTAAACACGAGACACAGTTTTTATGAGGGAAAATATAAATCCGTGGAAGACGCTCCAACAGAAATGGTAAGCATATCTTGCACAGGACAAATCAGTAGCAAATGTGACTGTGAGAACTGGTGAGAGACCCTCTGCAGTTAGCACTGCCTTTCATCCTGTGTGGAGGAGCACAGGTCCACAAGCCCCAGGCCATTGCTGGCTCTCCTGTGGCAGGGGTGATGGTGGTGGTGGCAAGAGCAGCACCTGCCCATGCACATGCTCAAAAATCCAGATCTCAGCACAGACTTTGTTCAAAACTTGTTTGTGTGATTGTGCATGTGTGTGAGGAAGAAGTGAGGGAGAGGCCATTTGTGACACTAAGCTAGATTTCTCTGAATTGTTCACGTATAAAGGAAGGGAAAATCAATATTTAATAAAAAGCAGTGAGATGAGTTGCTGATCATTAGGGTGCATCAGAGGTGTCGGTTTCTGCAGCGGTGATCTGTGTATGTGGCTGGAATTATGCCCTTTACCAGAACCCATTCTATTCCAATTACTGAATTTCCATTAAAAAAGAGCAGCAGCCCACCTGAATGCTCCATGTGTACATCAGATGTCTCTCTTGGCATGGTAACAAAACTCCATAATCCTATAGAATATTACAAAGCAATAATAATCCCTTCCATCCCTGTGGTAGCAGTGTCATAGTTTTTACCTACAATGGACAATAAATCCTTTTGCAGCCTGATGTTCATTCTTGTACAAGAGGCCAGACTGGACAATAGCTGTCACATCTAGAGAACAAAGCCACAAAGGATCTGCTGAGTCTCCTCTAATCATAAATCCTCCTTGAGCTGCAAAGCCACACTCTTTTATTATTTTTTAATTTAATTCTGGTAAAGTTGAAAATCAATTTTGACTGAAAATACCTTTCATGAATTTATCAAGATGAAGAGTGTGTGGCTTTGTTTGTTTAGTTCCTACCCTCTTGGAACTAAATTTTGAAGAAAAACCCCCAATACATTATTCTGCCTGAAATACAAGCCCTGGTTCTTATTATGTTAGGCTTTGATGTAAAGCAGGTTTATAGTTTCAACTCTAGTGTAAATGAAGCTCATCCCCACAGTGCCATGTTACAGCTTTTTGAGGTTGAATAGAACAGAAGTCACTGGAAAGCACAAAATATGCAACTAATGATGTTTTTTTTCTTTGCTGGCATGTAGGATTTCATATAATTAATTAACTCCTATGGTACCAGAAGATAGTGGAGCTGCATGGGGGAGTTCTCTGTGTCAATGATAAGCAATAGTTAGCACTGAGGTCACCTTCCTTTCCTTCTGTGAAGAGGACACTTTGGGGACCCTTTTTAAATCTTTCAGTATGAAAATAGAGTACTGGTTTGGGTTATTCTTTTTTCCCACTTACAAAATAAATCAGTAGTAAGAAAAAAGTGCTGTAAATACCCTGGTGTGACACTGAAAATCTGTTCAGTCAGTTTTGAAATTGACCGCAGAGAGCAATTGAAAAATTGTTGCTGGGTGTGATTTCCTAATGATGGTTTTCCAAAATCAAAACAGCATACAAAAATAAATTACATACGCTCCTATTTTCTGTTTTCCGCACTTAATGGTTCTCTCTGTAGACAAAGCAGTATAGCTTCCTAACCAGCGTGCCACACGGAGTCACCTTGTTTAGGTAACAGATTTTCAGGAATGCAGCTGGGGCAGCACTGGAATCTCCTTAGGAGCTGTGTTACAAGCTGTGATTTGACTGCAGTACCTCTTAGGTATGTCAGTACTAAATCTGATCAGTGACTTTTCAAGAATGGCTGAAATCAGTAATAGAGATTACTATAAAAGATTATACTTACAGTGTGCGAGGATATGTTTACTGACAGCCTTGGCATCTTTGGCAATTGAATATAAACTTCCCTGCTTTAAGCATGTAAGTTAACAGCTCTAGTTATCCATGCATTGATTAACAGAACTGGGACCTTAGAATTCAGCCCCTGCTTCTATGGTATGTAAAGCCCACAACATGACTTTTGAACATTATCATTGTGCTTCAACTACATATTTTAGTCCTCCTAATGTACAGACTGAAACAGTTTATCTTTGTGCTCTGGACAAAGCCATAAAATAAGTAGTGATGCATCTTGGATTTTGTAAAATATAGTTTCCCTAATCTGTGAAAGGTGAATCAGTGTTTGGGACTGCCTGGACACTGCAGAGAAGCTGAAACTGACCTGAGGAGCACCAGCATAAAGCGTGGGGACCTCTATGATGTGTTTTCCAACTGGTAAATTAATATTATTAAATGTAAAATTGATATTCAAATGAGAATTTCTGCAAAATATGAACTTGTGAGAGTATTTGGAAAGATTACTCTTAGGTTTCCTAAGCACAAGTTTATTCATCTGTCTTGGAAATTATGAAATCAAACCCTATGAGTAAAAAAGAGGAATAAATATTATTGTGACATGAGTACTAGTTTATATTAAACCTCTCACAAATATAAAAATAATTCAATGAAGCTGGCAGTAATGATGCCTACTGCTGCCACTTAGTGGAGCTGTGCTTTCCTTCCTTAAATTAGAAAAGAGTAGATTAGTAACACTTTTTTTGTTGCAGCTGGTCAGAAACCTCCATTTGTACAAAAGTGTGGCAAGACTGTTTTTCAGTGGTGCTGGGTACTCAGAATTCTTGTGTAAGTGCTTTTACATGATGACAAGAGGCATTTAAAGAATACAGGAGCAAAACACCTCAGGTGAGGAATGTGTACTCTTCCTGTTGCCTCATAGGTAAAACCACCACATCAAGAAATAAGTAGCTTCAGTGAAAAATAACTAACTTCATAATGGAACTTCAGCAGCCTGCAGAAATTCCAGCCACAGAAGATCTACCATTACAGAAGTTGAAAGGATGAATTTAGCACCTGAAAAACAGTCTTATGTGTGCTGAGCTACGGATGGTAAGATTTCATATTTCTGTTATAAATGGACCATGATGATGATCGTGATGATGATGATGATGATTACTTTGGGTAACTTCTCCATCATGCACAAGCTGCCTGAATACATACATGTTGAGAAGAGAAATGTCTTGTAATGATGAGGCTGGAGTCAGACTGATAAAACTGAACAAAGCTTATGTCCCTATGCAACATTTTTGATCCACCTCTTCAGGGGAATATAGAAATCACTCTTTGACTCCAGTGCATGCAGATATAAACTGAAAAGGACTTTGTTTTAAACAGAATACTGTGGTGGTGCCTTCCACCTCACCTCCTGCTGCTTAGCTTGCAGGCCAAACACAGCTCATGAGAATGAATTCCTTGGATGCTACTGCCAGAAAAAAAAAACATATGGAAGTGTAAAACAGTTAATGTTACCTGTACCAGCAGGAATCACTGTTTGCTATGCCATCTGAGTGCAACTGAGCATACAGCAGGCTAATAATATTTCAGTGATAGAAGCCGAATATCCAAACAACAGAGAAAAAGCATATACATTTTACTAGCAGGTAACGTATGACAGTAACCAGCCTAAATATGTCTGTTAGCTTGTCTCTAAGTAAATCAAGCATTGTTCATATCCACACATATTTCTCCCTGTGTAGATAGCACATTTAAGTTTATGCTGCAGTATTTAAGTCTAAAATCAGTGCTGTTTTAATGCACAGGTGAAACTACAGTGAGTTATAAAGCTTATGTTTATCCTTTCTAGAGGGAAAATTTACATTAATACAGGACGTATCAGCTCCACAATATTCTGGTACAACTAGGAATAACATAGTCTGCTCTATGGTGCATAGTAAAGTGGGAGAAGATTTGAGACAGCCAGCACAGCTTTGCCAAGGACAAGTCCTTCCTGACCCAACAAATGGCCTTCTATGCTGGGGTGACTACATCAGTGGACAAGGGAAGGGCTACAGATGTCATTTATCTGGACTTCTGTAAAGGCTTTGACAAGGTCCCCCACAGCATCTCTCTCTCTAGATTAGAGAGAGATGGATTCAATAGGGGGACTGTTAGATGGATAAGAAATTGGTTGGATGGTTGCATCCAGAGGGTAGTGGTCAATGGCTCAGAGTCACAGTGGACATCAGTGACAAGTGGTGTCCTGCAGGGGTCTGTACTGGGACCAGTGTTATTTAATATCTTCATTAATGACACAGACAAAGGGATCAAGTGCACCCTCGGCAAATTTGCAGATGACACCAAGCTGAGGGGTGCAGTTGCCATACCTGAAGGATGGGATGCCACCCAGAAGGACCCGAGCAAGCTTTAGAACTGGGCCCTTGAGAATCTCATGAGGTTTAACAAGGCTAAATGCAAAGTCCTTAACCTGGGTCAGGGCAAACCC